GAAAAGTTATGACACAAAACAACATTAAATTTATCCTATAAAAAACCGCAATGTTCCATTTCAACTAATATTACATAGTAACTACCAAAGATGGGCCCTAATAAAGATCCGAAATGTCGAGTGTTCATAACCGTAAAAATAACTTGTTGATTAGTGAACGTTGAAATAAAGGACAGTACAGTAACAGTTTTATTTTGAATGTTTCTTTGCTATTGTAAAAGGTCTAATAAAGATTGTCAGAGCGAATAAATGAGCTTCGTTAACCCCGCTTATCGCTGTTACCGTAACTGCACATAATAGTGATGTTGTGAGTCTCACTTGACAAACGTGCAAGTTTAATTGAGACAAATTGTCCAGTTGTTTGATCGGACGTGAAGAGTAGACTTGCTGTTAAAGACGCGACGCGATTTATACGAACGCAGTTTTATTGCTTGACAGTGATTAGAGGCTTTCCTTTCATGATCTACCGTTTGCCAAAATTATCTATATTAAGTAATATTTTCGCTTGTCACGAATAAGGTCACTTTTTAGATTTTTTAGTCATGTTTTTTATTGATCACTTTTTATTTATTTTATATATAAGTGAATATATTAGTTAATAAGATGATATTAGTGATTTAAGACATAAAATAATACTTGATACATTGTAGATAGGTAAGTCTGATTAAATGAATATTTTAAGAAAAATTAAATTTAGTCCGCGATTTTTACAAAGTTAAATTAAATAACATTACAATCTAAAATATTATTGTTATCCACAAAAGCATAAAAAGGTGCGGTTTTTATAATTTTCGTACATAATTTATTTACAGTCAGTAAGTTATGCTAATATACGCCAATTTATATTGCAGAGAATTTTGTATTCTTTTAAATGTAGAAAGTTGCTTTATAGATAGGATTTACCTTTCAAAAGTTATAAGCGAGAAGTCGAAGAAAGACCAAAACTGTCGAAGTTTTTGTGCAACACGCAGTTAGCACAGGTCTTTTGAAGCTGCAAATTAATTTTTACACTACTGGTGTTATCCTAACAACATACCAAAAAATCAATAAAGTGCAATTAATGGCAACCAATGATGTATTATATAACTGGCCTATAAAAAAGCGGCAAAAATAAAAACTCTTTGTTATTTAGAGGAACTTACAACCACCTTATTGATTATAAGATAAGTAATGAAAGAAAGACAATATGGAAAATACTATTCAAACACACATTACGGTTTCCGTAAGCACATGTCATTAGAGAATGAAAAGACAATTTCAAATTTCATTATTCAGTATATTGAATAAGTTCTCTTTTGTCATTTTTCAAATTAAACATAGCTCTATCTTAATTCTTGTCCCCTAATAAACATAAACATAACTTAAACGTAAGCACTACTTAGTGGCAGTTTAATCAAAATTACGTAAAACCATATAACTAAATGGCTTTAATGACCTTGACCGTCACAGATTTAGACCAAAAACGGTCGCGGCCAATGTTAAAAGTGCAATGTCAACGTCCATTTCATTCATGGCGGCTCGAAATCTGCTCTTGCGCAACCGGAGTCGCGTGCGCTTGCTCATCACACGCAGATCGGTAATTCCGCAGATTTTATTATACGACGAACGTGTAACGCAATGGTGTTCTTTTCAAAATTTTTGCATTTACACCCCATATTTAGTCGACATTGCATTTTGATTTTGTAGGATTCCCTACCACAAAAGAAAAAATAGAAACCATATAAATCCTTAGGATAATTTTATTATTCATTCATATATGGAGTAGGGTTAAATAAATTGGTATGTAGGTATCAAAGTTTGAACTTCATAAACAATCCCGCATAAGCTCATTTTATGCCACATAAGGTATTTGAAGCTCACTAAGAAATGAAAACCTATAGGGGACTTCCAGTTGACTTTGTGTCACGAAAATTAAAAAGAGGCAATACCGACATGGAAAAATTACCAAAAGGAGAAAATTGAATATTTTCAACAAACCCACCTTTTTTTGGTATAGGGGGGCAAACTATCAGTATGGTCTGATTAAATAAAACTAGTTTTAACGGGTTAATGCACGAAATTTATTTATTTATTGACGTTTCGCAGCCTTTTCAGGTCTGCATCGTCAGAAAAAATATTTTTTATTTATTTTGTCGAGCTACCTTCGAAAGACTTTTATTGAGATAAGATTTTTAAAACTTTATTGTCTATGTATGAATTTATAAGCTAATTTTGTTAATAAAGTACTTTATTTAAAAAAAAAATTGTAATTTTGAGTTATTTATTTGACCCTAACTACCGTAAACTACCACCGGTTCCAAAATTGGGAGACCTTTCTGAGAAGAACTGGCGAAACAAACTCAGAGAGGCTTTGTATCGAAATCGGAAACGTTAATAAATAAATAAATTTCGTCTGTGAAACGTCAATAAATAAATAAATTTCGTACATTAACCCGTTAAAACTAGTTTTATTTAATGATGATGATGATGTGCGTGAAAACCTAAGAAACAAATATTATGGTCTAATGTCATGTGGCCACTATAGCCTATAGCCGCTTGCGGTATTAGAAATGTCACTCGTGCCGTTACCTATTCTGACCCAATCCCTTACCAGTGAAGCTCTGCAGGTAGTGTTATTTTACAGTGGTCTTCTGTATGATGGAGATTTCCTTCCCCAGACGGGAACGCCAATCCGCTATGTCCTACCTCTCTTAAATAGGGAAAAACATTTGATTGCTGTGATGATCGACCCTTTATTTTAAACCTACAAGTTTGTTTGGAACATTCGGTGCGCGGGTTGATCTAGAACTTGGCAGTTTTTTGTACGAACAACAGAAGATTCTCCAAATTCGATTCTTTTGTATCATAATAAAACTTGCAACGCAATGCCTTGTTATCAGAAGATTAGCGTTATGCTGTTGTATTTTTAAGTACAGTTGTATATTGTTATAAGCACAAATGTAAAATTTAAAACTAACTGCGATAAGCTCTTGATTAAGATGGATTATAAATAGTATTATATAATAAAATAATAATAATAATAGGATAACACTTAGAAGGTTTTTATTATAAATGATCTAGAATAAAATGTTTCCATACTTTTACATTAGTTAACGTATCTTTTATTTTCAGCAAAGGTAATACTGATGAATAAGAATGGTAAAGATAATGACACAAGTGGAATTTCGATTATATCGAAAAGATCATGCTTTTAGCTTCTCGAAATCCAATTTCGCGGGATTGACATGAATCCAGCTGCGATTATTGCCGATGCAGCAAAAAATGTGCCACTTCAGGTGGCCTGGAACCATCCCTTCAAACTGATGAGCCCTCGAAACCTTACACACCCGCAGAAACACAAAACGTAGTGTTATTTCATTGTGGTTCTGTGTATTATTTTTTCAGATTTTTGGGGCTATGTAATCCTAATGAAGCTGTAGTCACTGCGACCTAAAAGATCTATTGTGACTCACCATGAAGTTAAAGTATCATATTTAGCGTGACAGCTTCCAAGAAACTTTAAATGTTTTAAGTTTTTAGAGATAAGATTTCCTCTGGGCGTATTCTATGTCGTCCCAGATGAAGACTACGTTTGTGGATAATTTATATAGAAGGTGTTTTTTTGTAAGGTGAAGGTTACTTTTCCAGACTCGCTCCAGTTCGGATCGTAAATAAATAGTTTGCATTAGGAATATATATCAATATATTGTAACATTGTTATAATCGATTGATGGTCACTAGGTAAATTGGGGGAAAGCGACCAAGAGGAAGAAACGCCACACGCAGGATCGAACAAATCTGCACCGCTCTTGACACTTCGACACTAAGGCCCGTATTACAGAATGACAACTAAGTGTTGATCTGTACTTGAGGACAGTTAGAAAGGGATGTCGCTATGTGCTACGAGTATATATAGCGATATCCCATTCTAACTATGCTCAAGACTAGATCAATCACTGAGAATCTTTCTATAATACGGGCCTAAGAGCATTACATTCGGCGATAGACAGATACAGCTGGCGTCGCATCACCAAAGTTAACACTGTTCCCTACAGATGACCACTCCCTCAAGAACGAGGAAACCATCCCAAGGAGGTTATAATAATAAATAATGATCAAAAACTATTGATTGGAAACAAGACACAGACTACTGACTTTTAAGAAAAAATCTTTTCAAGACAAAATGTTTTCGCGCTCTGAAATTTTATTTAAGCTTATTTTATTATTGATTTTTATTTAATATCCAGCTCTTAATAAGAACTACATATTTGTGCCGTTTGGTGTTGAGACTATGGGCCCATGGGGTCTAAGCGCTCGTTCACTTTTAAAGGAACTGTCAAAGAAGCTCACTAATGTGACTGGTGATCAAAAGGCTGGCAGCTATCTTGGTCAACGGATCACTTTTGCCGTCCAACGAGGCAATGCTACCAGCCTCTTGGATACCATTTCTGACGGCGGCGCTGGGAGTGACATATTTATTATTTTGTAAATTATTTAATGAGTAGGTTAAAGTAATTTTAATTGTTAATATATTATGATACATCAAGTAGTGTTTAAAATTTTGTCATTTAAATGTATCTATTGTAAATACATAAATTAGCTTGTTTTCATCAATATTACTAAACATTTCGAAATAATGTAAATCATAAATGAGAAAGGTAGGTAAGGTAGGTAAAGGTGAATGTCGAATATAAAACGATTTTTTAATAACATAGTATTATTACAGGAACATTTTACTTGATATTTAATGTGCGGAACAAAATTACCTCATACTTGAGTGGTTTATAAAACGGCGCTTTTCCAATTCACTTAGTATTCATCTAAGCATATTTTCCAGAGCTCGAGTCTTCCCTTCTTGTTTACCAATGAAGGTAAAGAATAAAATAATTTAACAGTACCATAAAAAATCACTACCACTAGTAAGATTCTTAAAATTGATTACATGCAAGCAATATTATAGGACTCATAAGGATAATTAAAACTTTTTGCTTATTAAGGCAATCAAATCAATCCATACATACCTCGTTATCTCGTTCGCGCCAAAAACGTAAACAAAACACGGCCGCAGCACGGTCCAAAACACAGTCACAGTTCTCACTAAAACGGTCCCACAAGATACTCTCCTCTTGTTCGGATAAGTTTCGTAAAGTTTTTTTCTGTTTAAAAAGAAAACTTTCTGTGAAAAGAGTTTTTTATCACGTGCACACGTGTAGAACGACAGATGCGCAGATGACGCGGTGCGCGCACGCCAGTGCTACAGCAACAAGTGGTAACGACGCAGGTGGCAGCCTCCCTCTAACAAGGTCGCGCCCCCCTACTGGCCGTTTCACCCGGAGAAAGTCTGCCTACATACATACCGAATTTCCGAACTGATTGGGCCCGCCGCGCCGGTTGAATCAAGCCCGATGATGAATGAAGCGTGTGTAAGCTCGGATTACACACCATTTCGCGGCGCTCATCCGTCTCTGATAAGAAACACTGCGCTGCAGTTAAGTTTGAGCATATAATTAGGATCTTGATTCCATTGATCCAACTGCAACATCCAACTGTAACTGTATTGAAAAATACAAAAATATAAAATTTTTTTTTGCTTGTGCTCCGTAGTCACGCACTATTTTACTACCGCATCCCGGAATCGAGTCTACCCATAGTATCCAGAAACGCTGAAGTTCACAAAATGCTCTTTTCCAGAGATCTTTTCCTCCATGCACAATAAAGTTATGGAATGAGCTACCTCTTCGGTGTTTTCTCAGTGCATAGCATTGTCCTCTTCAAACGAGGTATAAAAAAAGTGTTCCACGAAATGAATGAATGGTTGTGTCACTGGCATTGGCAATGTCCTTCGGCGATGGTGACCACTCAAATGAAATTAAAAATAGCTAAAGTTAAAACAAAATTGTTGCAGAGCACCCTGCGTTTTTTGTTTTATAGTTTATTTTATACTTTTGAGTTGAATCTACTACAAAAATTTGTTAATAAATATATTTATAGCTAATAATACGAGTTAACACAAAACTAATTAGGATTCTTAACTTCTATACTAATATTATAAAAAGAAAAGTTATGATTGTTTGTTTGTATTCAATAGGCTCCGAAACTGATGAACATAGGCTATATAGTATTTTCATAAAAGTAAGGATTCGAGTATCGATACTCCTAGGATAAACCTAGAGTGTGAAAAAAAAATCCAAAAAATCAACCTTATATCGCTTATGCTTCGGAAGTAATTGATAATAGAGCAAAATGATGTACTAATGTTTTATACAGGACATAAATATCTACAAAAAAGTGCGCGATATCATAATTATGTCTATTACAGTTATGTCACAACTAAAGGTCCCCTGCGGTTTTAACTGCGTTAATTTGGGGAAAAGGGTTAGTGTGTCAAACTTAAAAGTTAGGCATATTCTGTCGCGCACTTATTGTAGGAATTTTAAAAGGGAACAATTTCGTTTTACATGATGTTTGTGTACCTTTAATCGTTTACGCAGCGCACGCAACGGAATCTCTCAAATCGAATATTTTTACCCGTTTTTGCAACATTTAACATCCATACTCCGCTCATACTGGTCGCAGCGTAAAATTATATTTTTTCAAATGGGACCATCAGTTCCTGAGATTTGCGCGTTCAACCAAAAATGGTGCATGGTGGTACAACGGATCCTAAACTACGCAACAAAATTTTCACTATCAGTTGATTTTTTTTAAATACAAACCTGAGAACAAAAACTTATAGCCTGACTACAGCTCTACACCGAAGCGAAGCGAGGGCGGGCCACTAGTCAATTATATATTTGTTGAGACATAATATAGCTTTACAAAACATTTGAATTGTGTCCTAAACTATACATTACAAAAGCATACAGCTACTTTTTCCTCTGGAGAGCGCAATTTGAACCTCTCAAGATTCACGCTCAACATTGAGCTAATAGGTACAAATGAAGGAGGGATCATTGAGTAAATCCAATTCTAAGTGATACTTTTATATAAATCTTCCATTAAGGACTAATAAAGCCTCCTTAGCTTATTAATAGCAGATTAAACGGCCACTGTAATAGAGATTTGTCATTTCCTAGGTTTAGTTGTCGGCTCTCAGATTAGATCAATTTAGCAAATTAACTTTTTCTTTACCCGAGTTTATCTGGCGAAGGCACCGCATCGGTTCTCGCAACTACAAAGTAGAAAAGTGATTTAGCTGTTAAGTGTTTGATATAAAGTTCACAATCGGTTGGGAAAATTTGACACTTTACTTGGTAACTCACAATAACTTTGTTATTGTTACCTATTGGATAAAAAGCACCTTTTTGTATGATTCTTTTATTATGGCTTCATTTTTACAATAAGCACTTTGGAAATAGAACGATAGTCGTGTCGTAAGTAGGTAGTTCAGTTACTAGTAAAACGTCATATCTTGCGAGGTGTCAAATCGCTGTACTGACGATGTGTAAAATCGCTGAACTTACGATAGCGCATCGTCTAGCTATAGTGAATAGTTTACGAAAGTGTGACATGAAATTTGCAAGGTGAATTTATACGGAATCGGGTAATAACCAAATTCAGAGAAGGTCAGAGAAGAACATTAAAACCATTTAGAAATTTCCTTTATATATTTTTTACATAACAAACATAATAATCCACTTACACTACAGAGCACTGGCTCAGAAATTATACTTACAGAGCACTGGCTCAGAAATTATGAATTAGTTACAGGCTTAGATAATTATACAGTTGTTAGTAGTTTTTGTAGGAAATCGGCTATCAGGGGAGGCTCTCTCATAATCTTACAGAATAATCTTAAATACAAAGAACGTGCAGATATTGTTTCACTTTCAGTTGAACGTAATGTTGAACTATCTTGCGTGGAACTGGAAGAAATGATCATAATATGTGTATATCGACCCCCATCTGGGAATTACACTCAATTTGAGTCCGCTATGGAAGACACTTTCAATATAGTATGTAAATGTAATAAAGTGGTTGTTGTGTGTGGTGATTTTAATATAAACATTTTAGTTAAGTGTCCATTAGTGAGTAGGTTTCTAAACTTATTTAGATCATATAACTTGAAGCATACCTTCTTTGAGCCTACCCGCATCACACATGCATCAGCAACCTGTTTGGATAATATTTTTTGTAATAGAAATGTTTTTAATAAATCAATAATAAATTGTATTAATTCTGATCATAGTGGACAATTAGCCTCTATTGAACACCATCATGCTTCACCCAAACATGACCTAACTTGTAGACCAATTACACAAACGGGTATAAATAAATTTCAAGATAACGTTTATCACAAAATATCGAACTTACCAGTTTGTAATAATAATAATATTTTGTATGAAGATTTATTCAATTTAATTAAAGATGAATTCAATAAAATATTTAAACGCAAATTAATTAAATGCCATAGCTCTAAAAAGAAATTTAGTGATTGGGCCACACCGGGTATTTACAAAAGTAGAAATAAGTTGTATCAATTATATGCTCTCAAGGCAACCTCATCTGATCCTAAGTTTATAGAATATGTCAAAAACTATTCAAAAACTTTTAAAAAGGTGTGTGCCATAGCAAAGTCTAAGTTTTTATCTAAAAAAATTAGTCTTTCCGATAATAAAATAAAGACAACTTGGAATATAATTAATAATGAAACTGGAAGAAATAAATTTAATGAACATACATATTCTTTAAAAATAGACAATAAGATTATTAGGACAGATGATGCCGTTGCAAACACTTTTCAAAATTTCTTTTCTAGTGCACCATTTGAAACAACTAGAAATCTTAATTCTTGTTCTAGGTTAGCAATGACCCTCCTTGAGTCAAGTGTTGATAAGTGCAGTAATGATTTTCATTTTAGACATATCAGTAGTGATTGTATTATAAAAACTTTTAATTCAATTAAAATTAAAAAGACAGAGGATTATTGGGGAATATCAACATATATAATAAAACCGATTATCACTGTCATTGCGCCACAACTGGCCATTATATTTAACAAATGTATTGATGAGGGAGTGTTTCCAGATCTAATGAAATGTGCTAAAGTTATCCCTCTCTTTAAGGCTGGTGAGAAATCAGATCCCAGCAATTTTAGGCCTATATCTGTATTACCAGCGCTAAGTAAAGTATTTGAGAAAATAATTTATAACCAATTACTAGCACACTTTTCTATAAATAAGCTATTTCATTTAAAACAGTTTGGTTTCACTAGAGGCAAAAGTACTACTGATGCTGGAACTGCACTTCTCAAACACATCTTTGATATATGGGAGAGTAAGCACGATGCTATTGGCATTTTTTGCGATTTATCTAAGGCATTTGACTGCGTTAGCCATGAAACATTGTTAAATAAAATGAAGCATTATGGTGTATCAAATATTTCACTAAGTCTGATACAGTCTTATCTTTCTGCTAGGATTCAGAAAGTGGTTATAAATCAAGCTGAGTCTACAGGAGCACCCATTTCTATGGGCGTGCCCCAGGGTTCAATATTGGGCCCATTGCTTTTCCTTATTTATATTAATGACCTTCCTCACTTTACAAGAGATTTGTGTGAGACAGTACTATTTGCTGATGACACCTCTTTAGTGTTTAAAGCTAGGAGAGGAAATGATTGTTATGACGAAGTAAATTGTGCTCTCTCTGAAGTCCTTCACTGGTTTACGGTAAATAATTTAAAACTAAACTCTAGTAAAACAAAATGTGTTAAGTTTACTTTACCTAATGTGAGGCAGGTTAATACTAGTTTAAAAATAAATGACCAGCCTGTAGAGTTAGTGGATTCTACAAAGTTTCTGGGTATTACTTTAGACTCGCATTTGCAATGGGATCCTCATATTGATGCCTTATCAAGTAGACTGAGCTCTGCGGCTTTTGCTGTTAAAAAAATAAGACTTCTAACTGATGTGGAAACGGCAAGATTGGTTTACTTTGGTTACTTTCATAGCGTTATGTCATATGGCCTTTTGTTGTGGGGCTCAGCTGCTAATATAGAAAGTATTTTCGTACTGCAAAAGAGAGCTGTTCGCGCCATATATAATTTAAAGGCAAGAGAATCTCTTAGAGAAAAATTTAAAGAAATTAATATTTTAACACTGGCATCGCAATACATTTATGAAAATTTAGTATATGTAAGAAAAAACTATGACGCATTTTCAAAAAAAAGTCAAACCCATAACTTTAACACGAGATATAATAACAAACTTGCCGTTCCATGTTTCAGACTCCAAAAATCAAGAGGTTCATTTCTGG